GCTGCTGGCCATGGGCTTGTTGAAAGACCCAAAAGTCAAATAAAAATAAGCAATTTTTATTTGACCGCATGATATTATCCAAAGAGGACTCCGTATCACTGAGAGATGGTGTAGGACTGTCGGGCTGAGTATCAACTCAGACAAAACCGCGATTGTGCCATTCACCAGAAGGCGAAGTCTGAAAAACTTGAAAAGAATCCAACTAGATGGAAAGGAAATACTGCCAACACAGGAAGTTAAATACCTGGGAATAACCCTGGACAGTAACTCCTGTGGAACAGGCATATTAAGAACACCACCAGCAAAGCCATAAAGGCTCTCATGATATGCAGAAGACTGGCCGGAAATAGATGGGGCTGCTCCCCTAACATTTTGCGCTGGATGTATACCATGATAGTAAGACCCATGATTACTTCTGGAGCAGTTGCCTGGTACACAAAACTAGAGCAACGGACGGCAAGGCTAAACTTATGCAAAGTCCAGAGACTAGCATGCGTTTGCATCACAGGAGCCATGAGAACCTGTCCAACAGCAGCAATGGAGGTCATTCTAGATCTAACACCACTGCACATTGTCATTGCATATATGCCAATGCGACAATGATTAGAATGGTCACTAACGGAATTAGTACTGGGAGAATTGTCAGATCAGGGGCTTGGAACACCCTCATAAAGGAAATACCACTCCTGCAACTCCCAGTGGACGATATGCCAAGAACCTACAACTTTGAGAAACATCTCAATGTAGTATTGGGCAATAAAAAGGATTGGAAGAGCAAAACGCTTGCCCAGCAGTTAAAAGACCATACCATAACTTGGTATACTGATGCTTCCTAAACCAATACGGGAACAGGGATCGGAGTGTTTGGGCCGAGAGCTAAATACTCCGAACCAATGGGCACTTACCCTAGTATCCTACAGGCAGAAATCTACGCTATCGAAAGATGCGTACAACTTATATTAGATAGGAACTATCCGAAACAAGAAATAGCCATCTTGTCTGATAGCCAAGTAGCGTTAAAAGCGATCAACTCAGTATCAATCAATTCGAAATTGGTCAAAGAATGCATAGAGAAGCTGAATAAATTAGGCAAAGAAAACAAAGTCCTCCTAATCTGGGTGCCTGCTCACCAAGGGATAGAAGGCAATGAAAGCAAATAATCTAGCTAGGAAAGGAGCGAACACTCCACTAACTGGACCAGAACCGTTCTGCTTTCCAAGTGGTAACCAACTCAAGGCGGAACTCAAGAACTTGGAAGATTCCATCCGCAACCTGGAATGGAAATCTTGCAATGGTCTAAGACACTCGAAGAAGTTTCTGAGGGCTTATGACCAAGAAAAATCACAGATCTTCGTGGGTCTGAGTAAGAACAATCTTCGGATTGTCACGGGGTTTTTAACAGGACACTGTCTCCTCAATGAACACCTCAGTAGATTGAAACTAAGAAGAAACGGCGAATGCAGATTCTGTGGGGAAGATGGGGAAACACCAGTACACCTCATCACTGAGTGCGCCGAGACGACAACCATTCGTGCCATGAATTTTGGTACGACTGATATTGGAGATGGAGAACTACCCTCTATAAAACCGTCCCAGATACTGGCTTTTGTCAAAGCCCTGGGACTGTATGATGAGTTATGATTCGAGAAAGGGGGACACAATGGATCTGTAAGGTCGAAGTGATTAACCCCCCTCACACTCATTCTAAATTCTAAAAATTCTAAATTTGACCGCAATAATATGAAAAATGATCCTTTTAGATTAACTAACTCTAAAAAGACAATTGTAGAATTCAACAAAATTTCAAATCAAATTCAAATGTCAAATACGAAACTGTCAAAAATGGGGGATGGTCTGTCTCTGATGCATGAATACATGGATAGCATTATATACTTAATTCCAAGATTTTGATAATAATCTGATTATTTGTCTACAACATCACTGACCAAACATAACGCGAACATTATAAATTAAATTATACATTCATAAACCAGTGCGGAAACAACAAAGTTAACCGGTATTGTTCGAGAATAAATTAGAATAACAAATGAGAACGGCAATTTTAAACAAACGTCAGTGACATAAACAATAAACAATTTTGTCAACATCGAAGATTCCCGCAAAACAATAGATGTAATTGCTTTACTTTATGTATATAGATCTTGTTAAAGATATTTATGCTCAAATTAGTTCATAATGTTCAATGTTATCGAATAAATTTGTCTTCATCATCACGATATGCTCATTATGATGCATTCGATAGATTTGTCCTTATTACAGTGGGGTTATAACCTAGGGTGTGTTACAACAGCAAAATAAAACACTAAATCACCTCAATACACCAAAACACTTTTATTCAGTGCAAAAGTAAAAGTGTTTTGGTGTATTGTGGGGATTTAGTGTTTTATTTTGAGATTTGTCCTGTCCCGAGGCATTATAGGCATGCGTGTTAGAACTAGATGTATTTCCAAAATTATAGAAAGTGTTGTGTCGTATTAATTTTGTGTAAAATCTATACTAATATATAAAATACTGATTAATCACGATCCTGCTCAAACCACTCAACGTAAGAAGCTCAATTTTGGCATACTGGTTGATTCTAGGGTGTAGAGGTTCGATAAGAAGGGATTTTTCGAAATTCCAGTTCCAAGAGGGTGAAACCACCCCTCAAATATTACAATATTTTTTATTTAAAAAACGGTCAAGTTTCCAAAAAAAACGCTTAAACAAGTATATTTTATTTTCTTTTTCCACATATTTTAAGATTTTTTAAAAATGTATCTGGTCATTGATTAATCGCGATCCTGCTTAAAGCACTTGACGTAAAAAGCTGATTTTTGGAAAACAGATTGACTTTACGATGTAGAGGTTCGATAAGAAGGCATTTTTCGAAACTCGAATTCTAAGGGGGTGAAACTATCCCTCAAATATTAAAATATTTTTTTATTCAAAAACCGGTGAGTGTTTCTGAAAAACTCTTAAACACGTATATTTTATTTTGTTGTTTTACATATTTTAAGATTTTTTATAAATTTATACAGGGTGTTTTATAAAATATGACCATTGAGTAATCACGATTCTGCCTAAACTGCTTGACGTTTAAAGCTGATTTTTGGCAAACGGACTGACTGTGGGGTGTAGAGGTTCGATAAGGAGGGGTTTCTCAAATCTCAAATTCCAAGAGGGTGAAAACGCCCCTCAAATATTACAATATTTTTTATTTAAAAAACGGTTAGTCTTTCGGAAAAACGCTTGGACAAGCATAATTTATTTGGTTTTTTTACATATTTTGAAATTTTTTAAAAAATCATACAGGGTGTTAAACTGCTTGACGTAAAAAGCTTAATTTTGGTAAACGGATTTTTCGAAAGTCACATTCCAACGAGATGAAACTACCCCTCAAATATTACCAAGTTATATAATAATATCGCCATATTGTTTTTTCTCATGCTGACATAAATGTGAGAAAATTTTATCCAGTTTTTATGTTAATGGAAATTCTTGCTTTGCTTTATTATCACCATTACAAATGATTAAGATTAATTCGACGCGAGCGAAGTCGCTGGTACACGCTAGTTTAAGTATATTTTTATAGAAATTTAAAAATGTGAACTTGTAAACTTATAAACATAAAGAATGTGGATAACGTAGGAGCTGGCATCATTGCATTCCCTCGAATGCACTATAAACAAATTTCCGGAAACTGGACAAGCGGCACTCAAAAGTTTTTCAATATTTTCCGGAAAATATCAAGAAAAAATATAGAATTTTTAAATATTTTTTTCGCAAAAAACCTAATGGGTGTGTTTTTGGACCACCCTGTATAATAAGTAAAATAGTAGAGAAGAAAAATGTAGCTGATTATTGAAATTAGGTATAAAACTAAATAATTTATATCTCAAATGAATTATTTATTTGTTTTCTTTGTCACCAAACTTGCGCATGGAAAGTTTCTGTAAAAAACACGTTTTGAATAATTCACAATTTTTCGAAAAATTTACCAATTACATAAATATCAGTCACTCTCGGTTGGCATTGGTTCGTAAATAAAGTCCCATAGAAAAAAAATCGCCGTGCGTTTGTTAAACAAGTCTCGTTCACATTCACATTCCTACTACAATTTTATAATGGTATTATGTAAATGGGTATAGGACACAGTAAATTAATGTGCAATATCTGTTTACCACGTAAAGAGAGAATTCGTTTCTAAGGCCGAATATTCAGTACAATGTGCTGAAAAACAAGACGAAAACAGTGATTGAACTAACTATACTCAATGCTACCAATTCGAGGTACCAGCATTGGTATCTCGGTAACCGTAATAGATACGAACGAGTTGCGCCTTTGGGATGTTTACCAAGATGCCATCAAAAAAGTTTTAAAAATTTCAAGGATTGCTGAGTTTTTTTGGAAAAAACGGATTTTTTTGAAAATGAATTTTATTTTCAAAAAAATCCGTCCCCCCCCAATTTTTATAATTTTCAAGATACCGTCAGACTCATTTGCCAATTTCGTAAATCAGCCAGACTTGTTTCTGATAATATCTTATGTCAGTGTCAAATGAACTTATAATGAAACTTAGCTACAAATTGCTTGAAGAATCATCAAAATGTGTCTACTAGAACACAATATATAAAATTTTAAAATACATGAAAAATTTGTACATTACATGGAAATTTGTGTACTTTATAGTTAATAAATAGTTACTAATCATCATTATCATCATCAACCAGCCTGAAGTGTCCACTGCTGGACGTAGGCCTCCCTCAAATCCTTCCACTCTTCTCGGTCCTGTGCCACTTGGATCCAGTTTCCCCTAAATCTCTTCAAGTCATCTGACCATCTTGTCGGAGGTCTGCCTCTGTTTCTGAGAGCATCTTGTCTTGGCCGCCATTCTAGTATTAGCTTGGTCCATCTATCATCCGTTCTTCTGGCAATATGCCCAGCCCAGTTCCATTTGAGTTTTTTAAGCAGATATATAGCATCTGTTATTCGTGTACGCTGTTTTATAACTGTACTGGGTATCTTGTCTCTTAGAGATACACCAAGCATTGCTCTTTCCATAGCTCGTTGGGCTACACGGATTTTTTCTATGGACTTTTTCGTCAGTGTAAGTGTCTCTGCGCCATATGTAAGTACTGGCATAACGCACTGATGGAACACCTTCCTCTTTAAGCACATTGGTAGATCTGATTTTAACACATATCTTAGTTTGCCGAATGCTGCCCATGTTAGTCCTACTCTTCTTTGTATCTCGTGCGTCTGGTTATCGCGGCCAATTGTTATTTCGTGCCCCAGATATTTATATGAATATACTTGTTCTATATTTGCTCCGTCTACCGAGACATTTCCACTAATAACAAGATTAGTCATTAGTTTGGTTTTTGAATAATTTATGCGTAGTCCAATTTATCTGACGCCCGTTTAAGTGTTTTTAGCATATTTTGAGCTTCGTGTATTTTGTCTGTAATCAGCACCAAGTCATCAGCAAAACGCAGGTTATTGAGCATTTCCCCGTTAACATTAATGCCCATTTCCTCCCAGTTTAGTCTTTTGAACATATATTCTAATAGTGCTATGAACAATTTGGGGGAAATTGTATCGCCTTGCCGTACTCCTCTTTTAATACGGAATTTATTTGTGTTTTCGTGTAGCGATACAGATGCTGTTGCATGGTCGTATATATATTTTAAAAGGTTAGTATAACGGGTGTCTATACGACATTCGGCTAGGGCCTTGAATAATTTGTGTTGATCGATAGAGTCGAATGCCTTTTCGTAGTCGACAAATATTAAAATGAGGGGTTTATTATACTCAACACATTTTTCTATTAGGGACTTCACCACCAACAGATGGTCATTTGTACCGAAGTTCGATCTAAATCCAGCCTGTTCTCTTGGTTGATATTGTTCTAGTTTTAGGGAGAGACGATTTGTGAGGATTTTTGTGAATAATTTGTATGTGTGGCTCAGTAAACTAATAGGCCGATAGTTGGTAAGGTTTGTTTTGTCCCCTTTTTTATGTAATAGGATTATATTGGCATTATCCCATTCTGATGGCGTTCTTCCTTCGACAAGACATTTGTTGAATAATATTTGCAAAGCCTTGAGAACCTTTTCTCCTCCTTCTTTAATGGCTTCAATAGCTATATTGTCGTCACCGGGAGACCTATTATTTTTCATAAAGTTTAATGCCGCCGATATTTCATCTAAAGTAATATCTGGGATTTCTTCTGAGCCTTGATTCATCACAGTTGGTATGTACTATACGAGTTTCTAGGGTTTGGGTTGTCATATAACTGCTGGTAGAAATTTTCCGTAACACGCAGAATATCTGCTCTATTTGATGTTATCTGTCCTTCTGCATTTTGCAATTTATGAATTAGTGCTCTCCCTATGCTTGCCTCTTTTTTGAAAACTTTTAATCCTTGATTTCTCTCAATGAGTTGCGTTATTTTGTTGGTTTTGTGGGTTCTGATGTCTTTCCTTATCTCTTTTGATATCTTCTTGTTAAGTTTCCTATAATCATCTGAGAGTTTGTTTATCATAACTCTACGTTGCTTTATCAGATCTTTAGTGTTTTGGGTTAGTTTTGTGTTTCCCTGATTATCCTTTTTAGGACAATTTTCTTTAATAGCTTGCGTTAAAATAGTTACAATGTGATTATTTATATCTTCAATTTCCATATTTTCCATTCTTTCCAGATTTCCTAAATTTTCAGCTGCCATTGCTCTATATTCTTCTGGCTTTTCTAGTGTTACCCATTTTCTCATGGTCCTCTTCCTTATCATTTTTCGTCGTTCAGATTTAAGGTTGAATTCAATTCTAGTTCGAACTATTCGGTGGTCACTTCCTATGGAGAATTCGCCCAATACTTGTACATCTCTAATTATCCATTTTTTATCAGTCATGATGAAATCTATCTTGTTCTTGGTAATTCTGTCCGGACTTGCCCAGGTCCATTTTCGATTTGGATGTTTTTTAAAGAAGGTGTTCATTACATATAGTCTCATTTCTTTCAAAATAACCATCTGTACCCACGCATATTTCTGCTTCAGTTACTAATAAACTATATGAATATCCAACAATTCCAATCATTGTTGATCACTCTGTATATTCTCTTTGGCACTCAAATTTGAAACAAAATAAAAATCTACAAATTCTCTCGGTATACATATATGTTCAAAATTTTTATTTTTATTTTGGCCTAGTATGATTTTCTCCATATACGTTTGAACATATTGCTGTTAGTTATTATGCATAAAAGTGATTTAGTGTCAAACGCACTTGTCGCAGAATTCGAAAAACATCTGTAAACAAGTATATAAAAATATTTGTGGTTTATTCTAACAGCGCATATTATTATAACAACAAAGAAAACAATAATTTATTAATAGGTATTACAAAAATTTCATGACAATAATATGCAGATATCTATATAAAATCCGACATACTGATTAATCACGATCCTGCACAAACCACTCAACGTAAGAAGCTCAATTTTGGCATACAGATTGATTCTAGGGTGTAGAGGTTCGACAAGAAGGGTTTTTTCGAAATTCCAGTTCCAAGAGGGTGAAACCACCCCTCAAATATTACAATATTTTTTATTTAAAAAACGATCAAGTTTCCGAAAAAACGCTTAAACACGTATATTTTATTTTGTTCATTTACATATTTTAAGATTTTTTAAAAATGTATACAGGGTGTTTCGAAAAATCTGATCATTAATTAATCACGATCCTGCTTAAAGCCCTTGACGTAAAAAGCTGACTTTTGGAAACTTTTACTGTTTTTACTGACCGTTTCACATTTTTTGATGTCCGTTTTACTGTTTCTTTTGTTGTTTTTACTATCTGTTTTACTGTTTTGTCTCTATTTATAGGAGAATAAAAGTTGACAGCATAAAAACAGTAAAACAGATAACAAAAACAGCAAAAGAAACAGTAAAAAAGACATGAAATGCAAGGAGGCAATAGAGAAAGAAAGATTATCTCCTCTATTATAGATCCGGGACAAAACCGATATCGGGTCTAGGGAGAGACCAAGTTAAAGAGGTGGAAAAAATGGAGACAGATCTTCCAGTCTCCACCTCAAAAGTACCCCGGCCGAAGACAAGATCCCCGACTGTGAAAGACACGGAGAGCAAAACCCCAACCGTGAAAGGGTGTATATCCTCGTAGGAGGTAGATGTCCACTCCCCGGAGGACGAGCAGCTATTGCCTGAGGAAGATGGGAAATACCCTGTACACCCTATAACAGGAAGATCCCCATGTATGATGTAAAGGGAGACACAATAGATTTTTATAGTCGCGGTGATCAACCCTCCTTCCACACATTTTACATCCCAAAATATTCATTGAATAATGTTATTATATTTTTATAAAAAAGTCTTATAATAGGCACACTTTCATATCAAATACCTAAACAAGAGTAAAAGCCATTTTTATTTACTATCGTTGACTAACGAATAATTTAGCATATTGACCAAAAAACAAGTTTTGAAAATTTGAATAATTTCACTTGTACGAATATGTCTCTAAAAAAATTGGAACCAGCGTTAATGATTTCAAAATGAAAGTCCGCAAAAAGGTACCGCTCCATACGTGTGCCATATTTAACATATATTACTGTAAATGGCTAATATGTCGGTAATTTTTTTGAACGATGCATATACTGTAATATAGTTTGACTGCGCGTTGTATTTAACTATAGATAGTACTTAGTCCTATCAGAAAAAAATCAGGATTGTGACATAGATACTTATTTCTGTTGTTATAATTAGATATTATGATCTCATTCAATTACTTAATATGTAATTACTTTAACAGGATTGGTAGAATATTTTTTACTTTAAGTAATTTTGTGTTTTAAGTAATTATACAGTGTGATTTTATATCAAAATCTAGATCATATACATATATTTATGTGGGGGTGGGGCGAGGGGCAAACCGCTGCCAAAAATGGTGTACAGGGTGGGCCAAATTCCACGCTTTTAAATGGAAACGAACACCCTTTTAGTAGACACACCCTTTTCTATAGGAGATAGGCGAAAACTAATATCGGTGTCTGGAGCTCAATTTTTATCAAAAACATGATGGTGAAAACCGCACATTAATATCTGTTACCATTTCGGAGTTACGGGGTGTTTCTCAAAAATGTGCATTTTTAACAGATCACTGTAACTTTTTTACTATGGAAAATTTTGTATTTCCATGAAAACATTTCCAAAGCACCTTTTTACGTAGAATTTGATGGTTTAAGTATAATTTTTTTAAAATTAATAATTTAAGAATTATCAACAGAAAATTTGATTTTTTTATATGGGATACCCTGTATATTTTTAATTTATTGAAAATAATTTAAAATTACCTTTTCAAAAATATAACACACTTGATATTTTGCTCGATTCCTCTTCGAAATATAGAGTATATAAAAATTCGCCAGCTTTAAATAAGTAGGCTTTGAACGGCACCGGCTGTAATGAAAAAAAATTCTAGCTGTGAGCATCAGTTAAAACGAAAATAATATTTGCTATGAGAGATGCAGAATTTTATAACAATTTAATATATATATAACCAACATCAACACATTTAAACTACGAGGCATGTTTTTTAAGTAAGTACCGTTTTGCGATTCCGCCGCCGCAGCGCTACGGTCGGCGTTCCGCGCATGCGCGCTGGTTACCTACATCTCTTGTCTATGCACAGACGCCAGTACAGTCTGATTCTTCATTGTATACGTTGTTTATTGAGTGTTTAAGATGCCTCCGACAATCGTGAGCCCCGCCGATTGTGAAGTACGGGCTGTCATACAATTTCTTAGTGCTAAAGGCGTAAAACCGATCGATATTCATCGTGAGCTCTGTGAAGTTTACGGACAAAACATTATGAGTGATGGAATGGTAAGGAAATGGGTGAGAGCATTTAAAGATGGCCGCACAAATGTGCATGATGAAGAACGGAGTGGGCGTCCTTCGGTCGTTAATGAAGATTTGGTGCAGAAAGTGGACGAAAAGGTGAAAGAAAACAGACGCTTTACAATTTCATCATTGTGCGACTACTTTCCTCAATGTTCTCGTAGTGTTTTGTATCGCATTGTGACCGAGAACTTGAATTACTGGAAATTGTGTTCACGTTGGGTTCCGAAAATGTTGACGGATTTGCACAAAACCCAACGTTTAGGCAGTGCATTGACTTTCCTTGAGCAGTACCACAATGAAGGTGAAGATTTTTTAGACAAAATTGTTACTGGTGACGAAACATGGGTGGCCTACGTCACACCAGAATCGAAACAACAGTCCAAGGAATGGCGACATTCATCATCACCCAAAACAGTGAAGTTTAAGCAAACAATTTCTGCCGGGAAAACATT